GGATTTTTCGTTATCCAACAATATATTTTAAAGATTTGGAGCCATTTTTTCGAAAATTTTGAAAATGTCCCAGGGTCTTTAAGTACACTCCAGATAGACATACGGACAGACAGATTTCCCATCAATCAATTTTTCGGTTTACAAGGTCCTACAAGATATGGATTCCGATGACAAAATGTTATAACTCTCTATGTTAAAGAAAGTAATTTTCTAAACATAGAGACACGAATTATCCACTTTTTCGTTTCTAGGACTTGGCAATAATAGGTTTTCTATCCAAAACTCGCCGTTTTCTCTCGCAGCATTTCAATAATTTCTCTATACTGCGTAAGCAGTAGCCAAAAAGTAAAAGTTAAGTTTTTATACTCAGATTCACTGCTCGTGGAGACGTTCATTAAAAATCCTAATACAATGGAAGACAATGCAATTGGAGTGCATAATGGAAGATAAATGGGGAGAGCATATGAACACATTCCAAGGATTTTATACCAAATGTTGAAGATGTTTTGTCACGAGCACTGCAAGAAAAAAAGCTTCGTTTCTCTTTGCAAAGTGTAGAAGACTAATGGTGCACTTTCGGCTAAATGAATTGAGCAGGATTTGCAACTTAAAAAATGCAGTTGAATAATAATTGAATTCAGTGTAAGTAAACTGTCGCTGTCAAATATTATTCATCTTCGCATGATTTAGTCTTCACTAAAGTAATGCTGGAGCTGCGGAGAAAATTACAACCCCCGTGTTTCCCGAATCGAGATGATTTACGCTGCCTCTGTTTCTGTTGACTCGTGCAGATCCCTATGTCGAGGGGCGGAATTCACCATGGTAAATTTTGTCAGTTGATTGAGAGAAACAACAGGTGCGACTTCACGTCATACGCTGTTTTTTGGGCCTTGGTGTAGAATCCATGGGTCCTTTATGTCGAAAAATCGATTGACGGCCCGACTGTAGACGTTAGCATCTACAACATGAGTAGGATTTTCACCAAAATTCATATTCCCATATCAATCTGGCTGATGTCGAGGCCTCTTGAATTTAAAACCAATGTTTCAATTTTGGGGAGAGGTATCAAGAGTTAGGGGCTTCTTAGAAAAAAATTTACATGAAGCTCTTGGGACATTTCAAAATTTTCAAAATATGGCTAGCAATTGTTTAAGTTTTGTCTTTAGTCCCTAATGAACGCTCATGCAAACGGCGAATGTCTCATTTTCGTTAAAATACCTGATTTTTCGAAAATTGGAAAAAGTTCACATGGTTTTCAGCAATTGTAATATTGAAGGCAGAGATTTTTCTTCAAACGAAATTTCTTTTCCACAATTAGTTGTTTCAAAATCTCATATACATTTTTTGTGGAAAATTTAGAAATGTTCATCCAATGTTGAATGAAGTATGTCTAATATCAACTAGAAGTGCTTTGAAGAGCATACACTTTCTTGCGTTATTTATACTAGTTTTTTTTTCAAAAATTGTGCATTTTCTTAAAAAGCTGATTTTCTACAGCAGACTCTGTCTCAAGCAAAACTCTCTATCTCCAATTCTGTAGTTTTGAAATGTGAACTCTCTACAAAATTCAAGGAAGGGGGTCTACCGAAAATGGGACAAGTACCATATCTTTACCGTTCCTTATGAGAAAAAAATTAAAATTTGGAGCGGTTTTTGTGAAAAAATGTTTATAATAATTAGGAATAATAATTACGTTATATTTAATCATAAGTAGTTTTTGAAAAGTAATCATTTAATTAGTTAATTAGTAATAGAGTTTGTTAATCATCAGGAATTATTGAATAAACAATTTTCAAACCAATGAAAGAGTGAGAAGTTATTCCGAGAATTTCATTGTTTGTCGGCGACATGGATGGGGGTGGGTATGAATTAAGGACTTTATTTACTTAACGTAAATGTGGCAATGTCTCTACGTTCAATAAAATGGTATATTAAACTATATTCAATTGGGAAGAACGTATAGTATACAGATATGCATAAGATTGACATTACGTGATAATACCATTGTTTCCAATGCTTTCATAAGGTGATACATTAGATGGCCTTCAGGTCTCGATATTCAATTGCAATGTGAAATTATCCTTCCTGTTTTGCATATGGTGCTGCAAATATAACAGTTTAGAACTATTCATGCTTGTTTCTTTTATAGCAGTAATAAATGGCCACAGTTCATGACTATCAAAATAATTACCGATCACAGGCGCTTCGTTTGAATTTGATGTTTTACAAATAATGGTTGAAATGAGATGAAATTGCAATAACAAAATGTTACGTAACAATTTCCAATAATTCTAGAAAGTACATGATGTTGTAGCACCTCTAGTTTAACTAGGTAATTACTTTTCAAGGAATGGCCTATTCCTTTAAAAAGAAATGAAGATATTTCAGAAATATTGTGATAGTGCAGAATACCTGTCACTTAAATATTTCGCAATTAAAATGCTAATCCTAAAATGTTTAATAGAAACTTTCCAGAAATAACAAATTTCAATAAACGTCGCTTCATCTAAATCACATTTGACGTTACACAACGACGTTGATATTTTGGTCAAATGTCACAGAATGTTATTTTCATGATTTTATCATGATTCAAAATGTTCGCGTTGTTAGTGCGGGAGAAACGTTTTAAGTTGTTATCGTGATATGAAATCTTCCTGAACTTACACACCAGTTGTGAATAGCTTAATTGGGAGATTGTGCACTATCGATCTTCTTCTCATGCACATTCAAATTTTGTATCACTTTAGTACTTAGCGCATGCGCAGAAGATCGATACTGTTGTCCACTATGGCGTTCATAAATTCCCTAATATCGAGGTGTCAATTGTCTAGTTAAAAAGCAGAGTACTACCTGGTTGAAACAATAGAAAGAGAGATATTCCTACTGATAAAGTCATGATTCCCTCACGTGTTGTGCATGTGTTTTCCTCGCGAGGAGGCGTTTTCCCTGCTAGATGAGGGGAAAAACGCTCACCTACCGGTGGCTATCGGAGTTTTCCACAACCAAGTATCGGCCACTGGCGGGCACTGCTTCCCGATAAGTAAAGGGTGAGTAAAGAACAAGGAACAGGAAGAAAAGATCGCGCGTCAACAGCGACCCATTTTCGGAAATTGCTCTGGCACTCGTCTTGTATTTATAGTTTCGTGTGAGAGGAGATGCATTTCGTCTGCTATTGATCGGAGAAAACATTTGCGATTGATCACACACGGCTATCTGGCAAGTGTCGTAAATCTTACCACCGTCGAGATTCTAACCTAGAACCTCCAGTCAGACGCACTGCAGTGACATCAGTTGATGCAATGAGTTTCCTCTTCCGGCCTCTTCCTACATAAATGTAATGAGTGCACTATTACCTGCCTTGTTTTGTACAACCTGCCTTGTTTTCACAAAATGTTTCACCTTTTGTACCTGCCTTGTTTTCACAAAATGTTCATGAAACACTTCTCCAAATACCCGAAGGTGTGGTATTCGCATTCTCTGAGTTTTCGAGCGATAGCGAATTCAATACACTGAAGCACCTCTGACCGTAAGGTTCTAGGAATTGAGTTCTAAAGGTGGCAGGATTTTCGAAGTTAGAGAGGTAGGTTGAGTTTTGTTGCTGTCTGGAGGAGAATTCTAGCGTGGGGCTGGTGTGATCGCTGTATTTCCGTGGGTTCCCTGGATTTCCGTGTAAACTATTTCATCACGATCGTGAGATATAATTTGTGACTTTCTGTGAGATTGATTGTTAGTGATTCTGAGCGCGTCAACTACTAAATAATCATTATTTCCGAGGGTGTAGTGTATGTTTTGCTAGGGAGGGGGTAGAGGCCTTCCCCCACTCCATCGCGATATCCGGAGTCGACCTACCGTTGGCTAATGCGAGTTTTCCCGACCAAATATCTCCTACCAACCAAGTATCTCCCGCCGCTCTAGCCGGGACATTCTCTGAGGTTTCCGATCTGTCAACCGGCATGTGTGGTAGGAAGAGGTAGGAATGATCGCGCGTGGCCCGTAGCCCGTTTGTTAGGGCACTGCTCCGGCATTCGCTTGGTATTCATCGGTATCCTAGCTGAGAAGCTAGAGTCGAAATCCCTGCCACCGTCGGAACCTAGGATCTCCCGATCAGAGGGACTGCAGTGACATCAGTTGATCCTCTGAACCAGCGCTGACAGTACTTTCTGTGATTCCTTCAGTACCGATTGTGAACTTGTCTATTTTAATTTCATTCACTGATGAACAAAGTTCGAACCTACGAAGGCGATAGGAGCCGTCCGTAAATTACGTAACGCTAAAGATGTGGGAGGTGGTTGAGGCAACGTTGCGCTGCGTTATATAGGGGTAGGGAAGTATTCCATTAGTATGAGTAACATTGAAATGTTTTTACATTTGTTTAAATATTTCCTTTTTTGTTACACTAAAAGATGAGTGTTTTAGCTAATAAATTTGTTCTCTCTAAAGTTGTTACTGAATGAATGAAATGAACACTTTTTTTACTGAACTATAATTTTTTGCACTTTTTGGATTTACATAGGGGGTGAGGGTTGTCGCAAGCGTCAAGTAATTATTATGAGAGGGTTCAATCGCGCATTACAGGGGGAGAGGGGGTATTCAAAACACTCCAAATTAGCGTTACGTGATTTATAGACGGCCCCATATCCGTTTCTCAGCAATGAAGCATAATGAACCGAAGGGCTGCGGATTTTTTGGTCATATTCTTATGAAGGGACGTAAATAATTTGGGACCATTATGATTTTGGGTAAGACATGTGTACGAAAGTACCTAAGACAATATACATCAAATAAACCAAATAAATAATGAATACAAAATTTTTAGTATATTAGAACAACGTCTTCACCACGTTGGACTCATAAAACCATCACCTTTAAAAGGTTGCTTCTTCAGCCGTCCAGCCGAAATGTAACAGGCCTTCAGCCTGTTACATTTCTTTCTTACAAAAATATTCCTTTCCTATGAATCGTGCACGTGTAACAGCGTTCACAACGTGAAGGGTACTTACCTTCCCGCAGTGTCTGCACTTGCCCTTCTGCGAGCGGCGGTGGACCCAGTGGTGCGGCACGGCGCTCTGCTCGCGGTACTGCCGCACGCCCACGTCGCGGAAGCTGGGCTTGCAGGCCAGCTGCAGCTGCGGCAGGCAGGCGGCGTGCGCCACCGCGCGGCACGCGGCGCAGCGCAGCCGGGGCCCATGGCGCTGCAACAGCGCGCGCCAGCCCCTTCAGTCCCCGTTCGCTGCGGGTATCAGGCGTTCCTTCATTCGTTCCTTCATTCGTTTCTTCATTCGTTCCTTCATTCGTTCCTTCATTCGTTCCTTTATTCGTTCCTTCATTCGTTCGTACATTCATTCGTTCTTTAATTTTTCCTTTCAATAGTGTATTCATTCTTTCAATGTTTTGTTCTTTCATTCATACATACATACACGCTTTCATACATATATACAAGCATACATTAATTTCATTAATAAATTTGCAGTCAAATTTATCATAAATCTACAAGAAACTTTAGAAGAGGTAGGTAAGTTTCATTAAGGGTCCGGAAGCAAGGTTACGTGTCATCTCCGCATTTGTTCAATGAATCAAAGAAAAATGGTCGAAAATCCAAACCGGGAGGGGTGGGAAGGAGTTTCGATCCCAGTAGATCTTCACAATTGTTGTGTTTAGCTGTTAATATATGATAATGTAGAAACATATAATAATGATTAAATCAGTATTCGAGAGAGTCTCTCAATTTATAAAGCATCATTTACAATGGAATGTACCAGCAAAGATTCAGTTCCCTACGCGAAAATACAGAATTTTCTAGAACTAGCCTGGATGTGAAATAGTATTACCGCGAACATAGAGAATAAGTGAATCATCACTTGTATAAGTGAATAATAATTTAGGTTAATTAGTATAGTAAACTCGAGCACCTCAAAATTCAAAAAGACACTGAAGGATAAATTTTACCAGATAGTGGTTATTCCTCTCTTTTGAATGGAAGTGAATCTTTCGTAAGTAAAGAGAAAGATATCCAAATCCAAACACTGGAAACAAGATGTCTGAAGAGAAGGACTCAACAAACCTTAAGCGATAAAGAGGTAATCCAAAAGAAGTGTACGGGCAGAGAAGAACATTAAAAGGTAAACAAATGCCGATATTTAGGAAGACAGATAAATATCCAAGATTATATTCTTACTTTTGTAGATGTATTTCTACCCAACTGAAGTAACTGTACGACCCAGAAAAATATGGAAAAAATACAGATGAATTTGAATTTAGAACAGACTCTTCTTTCTAATTCTTGAAGCGAAGAAGGAAGCGTATAATGAAAACAATAAGGCAGATAATTTTGGAAATACAAGTGATCTGATTTAGTTGAACATATTCGGAAACATGTTACTTAGAAAATTATGTTATATTGTGAATATATGGTCTTTTGCAAATATTCAAAAAATATTTTAATAATTAGCATACATATTTATATTACCTTATTTATATTATCAGGAAATTTACCAAAAATTACACAATATAACCGTGAATTGACCAATATGCTTTTATGTGCACTTTCCAGCATTGAGTTTATCAATTATCTTTAAGTGGCATAACTTTCAAGTAACCATTCCTCGAACTTAAAAGTTACTACTATTTAAAATTTCCACATTTTTCGAGCATGAAATAACTTTTCAAGGTGTTGGGAATTACATGCAATGTAACCTGATAGTAATTGTAACATCGTTAATTTGCTTCCGATTTGCAACACTTACTCCACGCATTCTGAAACTCAAAGCGGGGATGTACTAAAATACCATAAATTTTTAAAAATACCATTTTCCTGACTTCCCGACTTGCACGTTCTCTTCAGTTCTTAAGGTTGGCCGTGGTCCATATATTCGTTTCTTTAACATCTCTATTTATTTATTACCATTTCCCTCAGACTGTTGCTTTCAGTTTTCGAATTATAAGATACACTTGAGAGCGTGGTATTCCGCAGCTGTAGTCAGTGGGTACTATTTGGCTGCCCGAGAGACTCCGCGTCCTAGGCACAGGTACCAAAGTTTCGGCCGCCATTTTGCGACCTTCCTCTAGGCGAAATGCTCTGAATTTCTCGCATTTCGCTCTGAGCAAGGTCGCAGAATTGTAGCCGAAACGTTTTCTCCTGTGTCTATGACGCGGTGCCTGTCGGACAGCCAAGGAATTACATCAGATTATTTAGACTTCAAGTATCTGCCAAAGCTCAGTGCCTTCCAATCAGTGGCACTGTCACACGTGAAACTTCATTATAGGAAATCGCCGACTAGGTTCAGAGGCAAATAATAATGACCTTCGGACCCTCGTATATACACTAGAAGTTTTTTGCATTTATTCTGAGACAAATTGCACCTAACGTAATTACTGCTGAATATTTCCCATAAGTTTTGTTCTACTATTGTTGTGTATTATGATTTACCAGATGTGTTTTGTAATGTATACCATTTTCTTCGAATACTTCAATTTGTAAGAATTTGCAAATATGTTTGGGAATTTTATTATTACGTTATTCCAACCTTCCATACAGCAATTCTTGTAACGTGTTTTGTTATTTCTTTGCTCTACTTTTACATGTACGCTGGCAAGATATGAGCTGTTCTGAAACTAAACACACGAATGGCTGGTTTAACTATTCAGTTTCTTGTATATACCATTTTGGGCATCGGTATAAATATTGAATTATTCTAATTGATGTCATTCAGAAGAACTGTTTGCTGAAAGGATTGATTGTTTGTTTTTTAATTTCAGATATTTTACATTTGATAACATGTATTCCCTCATCGAATTGAATTGAGGGCCATCTCTATTTTACATAGTTTTTTTATTACTCAGGTAATAGAAATCTAATAGCTTTTATGCAATTTAGTTTGTATTGTAAAACAGATTTGTTGAATTTGGTTACACCACATAGTAGGGCCTAACGAGGTAGTGTATTTAGCACCGCGAAAGATTCCCAGTTGAATTAAAAATATATAAGTATTGGAAACCTGGTTTCACTTTAAAATAATTTTTGCAACCTGCCTTTCTCAACCATATTCTTAATCTTTCTTATGAAGATGTTTCACGTAATTTTTACCTGAGTGCAATTACTTCCTCCAGAAATGGCATGCTGCATCTATTTCCTCGTGAAATAATGCAGGAAAAAGTGCCATTTGACAAGACAAAACACTCTTTGTGGGTCCCCGATACCAAACAGATTTATTTTGGTTGTTCTTAAATGTACGAATAATAAATTACTTTATAGAATACGAACACATAATGTATTCATAATCCACGTTTGGAGGATCCTTGATAACAAAAAAGAGTTTTCCTCCAAATGTCTGTCCATCTGAGTGTCTTGCATTTTGGTGTAAGTCTGACTGTGCATCAGTGTGTTAGTCTTTCTGTGTGTCTATCCGTCTGTGAATATTACTATCGACTAAAACGTATGTTTTTTAACTAAACCTTGTATTTTAAACCATCATTGATTTTCCTCGGTCGATCTACATTTACGTTGCAGCCCCTTGATTTTGAGACTGATATTGTAATTCTTAGCAGCACTTTACACCATCCCAAGTCACTGAACGTTGCTCGCATTTCTCTATACTTGAGCTGATTGCACGAGCCCCTCCTGTTCTGTCGGGCTGATTCGTCAAACAGAAAGCTACTCCGGTTGTCTGCAGATAAGCGCTGGCCCAGGACACGCCAAGTGCGCTGCCCACTGAATGCACTGAATGCACTGCCGCAACCCTTGAATAAATTAGCCGTTGATTTTTTCCAATGAAGTAGCTGCGATTTTCTTTGCCTTACGAGTGAAACCAGCGTGACTATTCGTTGGACAAGCGCGACGGTAGCTTCGTGATCCGGGAGGTTCTAGATTCGTGAGGCCTGCCGTTGCATAGACAAGTACCCTAGAGCAGGGCTGCTAAAATGCCACGATTCGAGCCAGTCTGCCGGCTCTAGCTTGCTGCAGGTGTTCGTCTGCCAATCCCCTTTCACTAGAGTGCAGTGGATCGCTCACAAGAGCCCCCTTTTCTCGAGCAGACTCAACAAGGGGCTGGATCAGGGCACGCCAAGCCGACTTCTTTGCCTTAAGCACTCTTGATTTGCATTAAATTTGTTCATTTTCGAAAGGGTATTTTTTTCGAAAGTTGTTTCAGTTTTTACTCTTCTCCAGTAGAGCAAAATATGCATACAAAAATAAAGAAGGTATATTTTAATTAGTACCACCGAATTTTCGAAAATTTCTTCAACCCCCTCAAACAACATTAAGAAGATATTGTTTTTAAATCTCTTCTTCACTTCCTTAATCAAGGATATACTAAATTTCTTGTAAATATGATACATTTTTGCGTAATTTGAAGTGAAATAGTAATATTTTTTTACTAATGTAAACAAGATTTTCTCGAAAACGTCTGCAAATAATTTATTTCATTTTTTACCCAGATAGGACTCCACTTTATAATACGGAGGTTGCCTTTTATGTTTCGGGATTTGTCAACCCTGGTGTTGCAATCTGGCAACTGACAGATCTATCGTAAAGTTGGATGTTTTGAAGTTATACGCACTCAGAACGTTTTGACATTTGAGCGCTATTTGTGTTGTTTACAGTAACTCAAAAGATTCATCTGGGCCCAAAAATGGAGTTAAATCGTGAACATTTTCGTGCGATTATTTTTTACAACTTTCGACGTGGATTAACTCAGCAACAGTGCATGGATGAACTTAATTCAAGGTTTGGCGATGAACCTCCATCAAGGACCAGTGTTTATCGATGGTATGGTGAATTCAATCGTGGTCGTAGTTCACTCCAAGACGAATTTCGCGAAGGTCGTCCAAAATCAGTTGTTGTTCCAAAAACCATTGATGCTGTGCGTGAACTAATATTGCAAGATCGTCATGTGACCTATCGTGAGATTGAGACAATTTTAGGCATTAGTGGGACCAGAATACATTCAATACTGCATAAACATTTAACTGTCAAAAACATTTGTTCGCGTTCGAGCCCACAAAATTTGTCAATCGCTCAAAAAAAGGCTCGTGTCGATTGGTCGAAAGAAATGCTCAAAAAATACGATCGCGGTGCTTCGAAACACGTCTATGATATCGTGACAGATGAATTTATGCTTATGAGGCCGAAAATAAACAGCAGTCGACTGTATGGGTGTTTCAAGATGAGCAAAATCCAACAAAAGTTGTTCGCGCA